GGTTTGCACTCTGACTAGGTCTTTACGTAGCTAGTCCATAACAGGTCTCACTTTGACAAGACCTGTAAACTATTGTGAAGCTGTGGAGTGGAAAAAGTGATCCACTTCGCAAAAGGATTCACAGGTCTCACAAGGTTCAATTCTCATCATTACGGACTGTCGGGGCGTGTCAGTGCGGCTGCGTGCCAAAGTCTTTCTGCACCAGTTGTTGAAGCGAGCAAATGACATGACAGCATTATATCCTTCGTATTACTCGTTTTCTACCACTTTTTGTCGCAACAAAAGGCTGAGAACGGCTTCAACAGTGTGCGCACTCCTACTGGCTGACACGCCCCGACAGTCCGTAATGATGAAGACAGTAACCTGTAAAGGATTCGCTAAGTACCATGTGGCGTCCCCTCCAGGCCGAACTGCGCCAAAGTTCTTACTATCGAGCTTATGCACTGTCAAGGGAATGTTTCTAATGAAGTTTCGTACCTATTGTAACTTCCTCGAATCTTTGCTGATCCGGAGCAGGTCGGGAGACTTGAGCTGCGGCCTTCTGTGAGAACGGGTAAGGGGGTCATGCCAGAAGGGCAAACTTAGGGGGCTGACGTATTTTGCAGCTAGTGATTATAATATGAGGATCTGCCCACCTTCTGATCTTAATTATCATAAGCCATGTTCATCATAAATTCGTAGTCTGGAAGCCAAGTTGGTAACTGAGATCTCGTTGCTAAATTTTTCTGGATTCTTTGCCAACTTTCACCAGACATTCGGCGACTAAATACCATTTCACACCGCTACTACTCTTATCAAATTGTCGCTAACGACCAGTTCTCTGTTCCTTCTAAATATCGACCTTTCTGGCTACGCTGTTGTCCCTAGACGTCACATCGCATTCGCCATGCTATTACTCCTAGTTACTGTGCTCTCAGCTCTTTTCATATTCTATCACACTTATTGGAAAAGAAGGAATCTACCACCTGGTCTGCGACTAGTTTTTTTAAGTTTTTTTTGATGTTATGTCACATATCAAAAGGAAGCTATGACATTGTTTGCTATTTGTTGGGGTGTTAGTCGGGTGACGCGATCAGATATCATGACCCCTTGATAAGAAAAACTAGCCCGATTCGCTGAACCACTAGGTTTCGCCAATTGATTCTTGGGAGAGAGAAGGGTGAAGGAACAGCAACAATGAAGCCTAATGTAGCGCCTTTCTCTGAATATCCCAACAAGATATTCCAGTATTCTATTGGAATTGATGAGTTGTCCGACCTGGGGACGCGTCGCATGGTCTGTCATGATATCTCACCGGAAGTGTAATCCAGTAATATGCATAGGTTTCCGGCTTTGGAAAATTGTCTGCGGCTGCGATTCGATAGGAAGACCTGCTAGCGGTGGCGAAAATGGCGTGGCAAGTGGCGTCACACTCAAGGCATTCGAACAGGGCCTAGTTGCTTTAACATGGAGTTGCCACAGTGTGTCCAGTCAGCGGGTCAAGAAATCAGTGCACGTTCGGCGCGGGCAGAATTTCTTGGTGCAGTTTGGCGAGGGGGGGCACTTTTGCTGCTTCACAAAAGGTTTCAGCAGGTCTTCCTACCAAAGGGCATCACAGTTATGTCTCACTCTGGTGGATAAAACCTGTCAACGCTTGCAAGCCTACGAAGTGGCTCACGAAAGGTGCTTACGTCGACGGAATGTAGCAAAGTGCCCAGTTTCGGCTAAGACTTTACCTCCGCACACTTTCCTTCTCCTCTCGCACGATTACTGAATGCGACGTGGCCTATATGATGAATTACGAGCATATTCTTTGCTCAAAGTCGAACGTGGGGCCAATCTACCGTTCACGAGGTAGAAAGCTTGGCTGCCCTGGGCGGGAGCCGATCTGAGATCTGGCCCTATGAGGTAAGCGTGCCACTGGCTACTTGCCGTTTCACAACCACCACTTTCTGGAGTGGTTCTATGTTCCATGGCATGCAGTAAAGTTTCTGCTGGTATTGAACTCAAAATGCATCTGTTTTATTATGATAACTGCTGTTTAACGCCGCAGTACGCGTTCCGAATATTTTGTGATAACAAAATGCATCTGTTTTTCTCTGAGGTGGGAAGTGGGAAGGGAGTAATCTGGCTTATGTTGGCGGTCGCTACCGCGATTCCAAAAGCATTGACCATCGATTTTCTCAGGGAACGTAAACCTGATGAGATTTTAGGTCCGATTCCTTTTCCATTCATTGGCAACCTCGTCGCTCTCTCATTCTACGAACCTGGCTATGAAGCATTTCGAATCTGGAAGGAAAAATATGGCCGGTGCTTCACGTTTTGGATGGCTGATCGACCTGCTGT